AAATGTCAATTCTACTGTTCAGAAACTTAGTTCATGAATAAAAGCAAAAAACAAGCTTACAGAAAATCATACAGAACAATCTTTTTTGAAAATCTAAAAATGCAGAAAGTTCTGTGTGAGGGCTAGATTTAGGGGTAGGGTAGGGGTAAAGCGATAGAAAATAGAGTTTGTATAGTATAAAAACCGTTACATCTATGGAATATCCTCATAGAACATTGAAGCCAGTGTGTGTGTGTGTGTGTGCTCCTACAAATGCAGAAAGTTTTCTGTAAGGGGTAGGGTTAGGTTTAGGGGTTGGTTAGGGGAAGGATTAGTTTATAAAATCTATAACTGTATGTATATAAAAACAATACAAGTCTATAATGTAATGTAATGTCCACATTTAGATCGTGAAAGAGTACACAGTAAAAAAAGTGTGTGCGTGCGTGTGTGTGTGTGTGTGTACTTCTTTATGCTACATTGTAGGGACCAAATGTCCCCACAAGGAAAATAAAACCTGAAATTTTTGACATTGTGGGGACCGCCCTGGCGTCCCCACGAGGGAAAAAATTATTAAAAATAGTATGTGATGTTTATCTGAAAGTGTAACAATGCAAACAGGTTTTCTCTAAGGGGTAGGTTTAGAGTTAGGGTTGGGTTAGGGGATAGAAAATATCGTTTGGTCAGTATAAAAGTAATATAAGTCTATGGAAATCCCCACAATTCACGGAAACAAACGCGTAAAGTGTGTGCGTGCGTGTGTGTGTGTGTGTGTACTTCTTTATGCTACATTGTAGGGACCAAATGTCCCCACAAGGAAAATAAAACCTGAAATTTTTGACATTGTGGGGACCGCCCTGGCGTCCCCACGAGGGAAAAAAATTATTAAAAATAGTATGTGATGTTTATCTGAAAGTGTAACAATGCAAACAGGTTTTCTCTAAGGGGTAGGTTTAGAGTTAGGGTTGGGTTAGGGGATAGAAAATATCGTTTGGTCAGTATAAAAGTAATATAAGTCTATGGAAATCCCCACAATTCACGGAAACAAACGCGTGTGTGTGTGTGTGTGTGTTTTCATGGCTTGGATCATCTCAACAGGAAGCAAGCCTGATTCGGAAGATTTGCCACTGACAGACTGACGTTTTTATTAACCAGTGACTAATACTTCTTTTCAAGATGCATTTATGTCAAATAAAAGTAGTTACCCAGAAACCGTAGTTAAACACTTTATGTCAAGTTGTGTATTAGTGCATCACAATGTGGCAAAAAGTGGAATTGCAGGTGTGAACACTAGTATAGGCCTACTGTAGCTATCTATGAGAGTAGTCTTCTACCTTTTCATGTCATCTATGAACATCCATCATCAAAAATGAATGACAACTACAACAACAAAAAATACATTTGATGATTTAAAGAAAACAAATTAAACCATGTCAATATTTAGTTGAAAATGTTTTTACCAGTTTAGATAAATTGATTACTAAACGTAATTTCATTCATCATTTCGTTCATCATCACAAAGTTTGCCTGTAATAAAATTATTATACTTTATTGACAGCAGAGTCAGTAAAAATCATGAAATGAAATATGACGCGTGATGTGTAAATAAAAAATAAATAAAAAATAGTTTCATATTTTGTGTATTTACTATATATATAGTAGTAATGTATATATTATAATTTCATATAAAGAACATATATAATTTACATATATAGTTATAAACTTAGCGTTAGCTAAGTGAAAGAATTGGTATTTGTTTGTTTGTTTGTTTGTTTGCAGCTTTCATGACCAAATCCTGAGATGCAGAGAAAATGGCGCTTTGTTAGAAATGTTCATGATGTTCTGAAAAAGTTATTAATTATAATCATGTTGCACATTAAAGGATGTAACCTATCCAAAAAAAAAAAAAAAGCGAGGGAAAATATAAGTCCACATGCACAGCCAAAAGTGGTCTTAAAGAAATACCCACGTACAACAATGTTATATCTGCTACTTTAATAAAACATCAGACTATGTGCTCTGTGCATCACACTCACACACAACATCCCACTCCTAATGGAATGTGAGCGATCTGGGTCATGGGAAATGCTTTTCCCCCCCAGACGCCCACCCACTTGACTGCACATCTGCTGGTGATTGAAGCTTGTCCTGTTTGGTGGTCTACGATCACTAGTTTTGGAATGGTTCAAACCTGGATTAAGAGGAGGAAGTTAATTGGTCCTTAAACTTTAGGCTATTAGACTGTAATTTTCCTCAGACCTTAAGTTTATGTAACTTAATACTGTATAGGTGCAATGGATTGAAAATTAATTTCTGAATTTGGTACAGTACATAAAAGATTGTATGTATGCATTTGTGACAGACCGGATTCCCGATTTCAGAACCATTATCCTCCTGCGCATACATTATTCATCCACCAGATGGCAGGCTCTGATGACAGATATTTAATGCAGATCTACAGCTATGCAGTCATCTCCTCTCTATCTACTTGTAAGATCAGATGTTTAAGGGCAGATTTATTTGGAATAGCATTACCACACTAGTGTTCATGGAAAAACTGTGTAAAAAAACAAATGGCATGAATATTTCAAACAACATCTTTAAGATTTTATTTTACCATCCTTGCAAACTTTGACAAATCCAATTACTCCAACCTTAAAATAGCTCCCAATAAATCAGCCTGGTACCTTTTTTTTATTTCCAGAGGAACACATAAAGCACCTGCATATCCATACAAATGTTGTGTAAAAGTATTAAGTAATAATCTTTAATTTTTATGTAGAATTTTACAGAAAAACTGGATGTTTTGGATTTATGAGAAAGGGAATCCAACTTTCTAGGATGAGTGGTGAGTTGCTGTTTATTCTTAAAATTATTTAAATAAATCAGATGCTGTATTTACCTTGAGTATTGTCGAAAGGACTATTGGATATCTGTAGGTCTAGGGATGAAAATAAACATTTAATAAATAACTTCAAATGTTAATTTTACTCTTTTATCAATTAATATTTTTAAAATTAAACAGAATGAATGTATATTTAAGATCATCATTCTTAAGTTGATCCACTCTTATAATGTTTCCAGTAAGTCTTATTATGTAAGACCAGGCCTAAGGCAGGAGTTTCTCTGCAGAGAGGGGAATCTCCTCTCTTCCTCCCTCTCTTTTATTTTTGAGAAAGGGGTTCTTTCCAGCTGCAACAGTTATTGTCTTCAGGATTTCCTCTCTCCGGGGCTTTTCTTCCCGTTTACTTCCTTTCATGCAGTTACAGCAGTTTTTATTCTTCCTTTAATTCATAAAAGAACTGCCGTGTCAGAGTTTGCCCTCACAGTGTCTCAGGAGGCAGAAAGGCCTACACACCACTGAAATATTAGATATTTTTCTTAATCTGTGTCTTGATATTACAGTCAGCAGTTTCAGTGTTGTGACTGCAGGAATACTAAAGAGCAAGAGAAACTGCCGTTTTTTATGGTTTCTCATGATTAATTTAAAAACAAGTTGATTAAGACTAGTTTATTCACTTTATACGCTTTAGACGTAAAACATCCACATTTCATGTCATTATTGGGTGCTTTAGGTGAGGCTGATTTCAGGTAATAATGTTAATGCTCAGTTTATTTCACAGACTGATCGCTTCTCTTCATAAGACCTCAATATATCATCGAGCGGGAGGTATTCATTTAGTTACCTAATATGTTTTTCTTGACTCACAAAATAAAGTTGCGAATTTAACTTGAAATATCGCATAAAACATTTGCGAATAAGCACCGTTTCCATCCAACGAGTCAAAGAGAAAAAAATTGTCACTTCCTGGTAAACTGGCACTATCTATCACTAAGAAAAGTAGGAGAAGCCACTGAATATAATAATTTTAATATATAATAAATTACTTGCGCCTCAGATCGAGCAGACGAAACAAAATAAATGCGGTCATATCTTTTGGAGGTGGATGCCTGCTGTTTGGGAGCGCAGTCGTGTAACAGTTCTGGGAGGCAATTATACAGAAATACTTTGATGACAGACTTTGCTCGGGCATTTCAAAATTACCATAACAACATTTCAGGTGCTGTGGAACAAGATCGGTGTGCTGGTTATGCTGGGTACACACCACAAGATGATCGGGCTGATTTTGGGCCGATTTCTCCCCTTCCGACAATCCTAGGTAATGTCCCGATTATCTTGGTGGTTAAAGATTATCTTATCAGATTTTCCTGTGGTGTGAGGTGTATTAAGAGTGACTGAATCTGTTCGGAAGAAAGTCGGAGACACCATGTTGAATATTTAAGATCAGAAATCCTGATGTGTGGGTTGAACATCGCAAGCACACCACACACTATAGGAGCAAAACGGTTAAATCTACGATTTTTTTCCCTCATGTTTGTGGTCTCTCACATTTTGAAGATCTTACAAGATTTTAAAAATCTATTAGTATGTACCCAGCATTTGTCAGGCATTTTGCCGTCCCATAGTGCAAAGTCACATGACTTTTTGATGCGCATGGAGGTATTTACTCGGCAAATGCGTTTCCATCTCCCATTATTCACATACCCTTTTTCGCACAAATCAAAACCACATCAAGCGAGCGTAAAAACTTTTTTGCACATTTTTATTTGAAATTTGCCGTTTCCATCACTCATTTCGGATGCGACACTTCAAAATGCGCATAAAAACAGGGTGATGGAAACATAGATATAGTGACTTGCATTTTATAAATCAGGAAGGACCATGGTTTCAGCTAAAAATCTTTACTCTTCTACTGAAGAAAAAAGTCACTTACATCTTGAATGGCCTGAACGTGAGTTAACTAACCTGTATTTTTCTATTTTTGTCGTGAACTATCCCTTTAAGTTATTTTGACCCCTTTGAAGGCTGAGGCCCCCTAGTGGGCCACGCAGAACCACTGCGTTTGGAGAGAAATTGACGTTTTAGGACCCTGAGGAGGAGCAGCACTTGTCCTATCCTCCATGGCTTTCATGTAGGTGTGTGGTGAGTGTTGGCCTGATTGAGTGCCAGTGGAGGGATGAAGAGAACCGCGGACGGTCACGCGTGTCCAGCATGCGCACATACAGCTCTGCCAGTCTCATCTCATCATGACCGGAGCTCACCTCAACTATAGCGTCTGTCCTTGAATTGTACAGTTCTTGGATTTGTGGAGCACTGGGACTTTCACAACCTTTTATTTCTCGTAATATATATTTGAACAACTTCTTTATTTAGCTGTATAAAAAGTTGAAGAGAACGGTTTTTGGTCTTTATTTTGACTGATTCCCTACAGAAAATGTGTATCATAGGTTGAAAGTCCTTAGAAGGAAAAATAACACGAACAACAACCGGCAGAAACAGCACAAAACAAGCTAATTTATTCAAGGATCTGCTCTTTGACTTCAAGGAAATCAACATGTCCAGCAGAAGCATCGAGTGGGAGCATTTCGAGGAGCGCGAGAAGAGTCACCGGTCCCCGCGGGGCAGTGGCGCTTCTCATTCCGGCTCGCGGGGTAACGGGCTCGTGCCTAGTCCCGCTCACAGTGCGCACTGTAGTTTCTACCGCACACGCACACTGCAGTCGCTCACCTCCGAGAGGAAAGCGAAAAAAGTTCGCTTCTATCGGAACGGTGATAAGTACTTCAGGGGCTTGGTGTACGCGGTGTCCAGTGACCGCTTCAGATCCTTCGACGCGCTGCTGATGGAGCTCACCCGCTCCCTCTCGGACAATGTGAATTTACCTCAAGGCGTCCGGAACATCTATGCTATGGAAGGGGGGAAGAAGATCACCAGCCTGGATGAGTTACTAGAAGGTGAGGTTGAAGATTGTACAGGTGCCAAAGTCTAAATAGACACAACAGGCACTTCAAATTCTTTTCCCCATGTGACATCCAGTAAAGCACCACTGCTATTATCATACTTTAGTGAAGTGATTGTAAGGATGCATTGTTTGCAATGTTGCAACATGGCAAGTCAGTGTAGGTAACGTTTCCAATTAAGTCTCTCACACACATAAACACTGGATTTTCAACTCACCCTGCAATTTCCAGTACTTTATTGGCATGGTTGTGCTATATATTGCAAAGACATTCATTCATTTATTCATACCTCAATAAATCAATGAATTAATAATATGTACCAGTAAAGGTAATATAATAATAATATGAAGAGTGTCTTCTCACTGTAGCTGTTTGTTAACTTTAAACATTGCAATCCATGCATGATAAACAGGATAGCAGTAATTAACATAGTTTTAACCAGAATTACTGTATGTTTACTTAATTCACTATCAGCTGATGGAATAGTATATTAAGACATAGTCTCAAGTCAATCCATCAACAGAAACGAAAAGAATATGTTTTAGCTGTTTTTGTCAATATAATGAAAGTCAGAGGGCTTAAGGCCCACTGGACCGAGCTGAATTTCAGTATATGGACAAAAACACTGAGTCATAAATATCCTCAAAATACATTCTGTATTCCATAGAAGGGAAGGCCATTTGGAACAACATAAGAGTGAGTAAACAATCACACAATTGCCATTTTTGGGGAGTGAACTATTGCTTTGACTCTCATTGGTCATTCAAAGCCAGTACTCAATCACAAGAAATTAGTATGAATATATTACTTTAACAAAATGTAAATAATGTTTTCTTAGGATAGATATTTTTTATATGTATATTGCCATGTTATAGCATTTAGACTTGACTGTCATAAAAACCAACCCAATTACAGACCTTGTTGTTATTGCTCTGTGCTATTTCAACAATAAACTGAATGCAGAATTCATTGCATGATTAGAGAATTCATGTTATTCTAAACACAAATATATATTTTACTAAATTGGTGTGCAAGCACAAGTGCAGCTGCTTTGGTCCAGCATGTGAGATTGTGATGCAGAATGTGGCTCTGTGTTTGCTCGATGCAATTGTACAAATTCTTTGCATTTGAAGTGCCAAGTTCAGCATCTCTTCACGCTGACTGAGGGTTGGCTTAGTTCTCTTTTGTGTTACAAATCTGTGTAAAGTCTTACACGCACATGATCCAAGCTTTGAATGCTATTTGCTAAAGATCGCCAGCAATAGTCAACTACGTTGGAGTGTTGACAGTAGCTACTACTGATACTGCTTATTGTGCTGGCCCACCATACTTTGTTGAATGATGGGCACATAAGGGTCCCATCTGGACATCAAGGCAGGACTGGTTATGAGAGGGTGATGGAGGGTTCATAAGCCCAGTGGTTCCAGTCCACATCTGAGTCCCATGTGAATGACATCAGTATTACTATATTTCTGTTTTCCAACACATATTATGTCAAATAGCTGACATCTGATTTTGGGTCAGTTTATCATCAGTAATAGTGACCCCATCTGGAGTCTACTTGATTAATTAGCCTTTTGTTAATTTCTCAGCTTAATAAAGCCCAGTGTCTTGGGAGCCCCTCCCTCCTATTTCTGAGGCAAACTGAGTGAAACTGAGATTTCATGATCCAGTGGCCGGAACAATGATGTTTATGCAGAATGATTGTAGTTCTGGGTCAGTGGTGGAACTAAACATTGGCCATAATCTTAATGATTTATGAGTATTAATTAGGGCTGCACGATATTGGAAAAAACTCACATTGCAATATTTTTTTTTCTGCAATATATATTGCGATATGAAAAAAAAAATCAGATGACTTCAATAGCTCTATTTGGGAAAAAAAATAATCAGTGATTGGGGTTATTTTTAGGCGTGTAAATCAGAGAAGTGAACAGAAATCAGTGTTCACGTGCATCTGCGTGGCTCTCACCGTGTCTACCCCGGGCGCGAGCGGCGCGACAAAATACTTTGAACCCATTTTAATCAGTGATGCTGTGTGACTGACTACACTGGACGCGGCGCGACACGACAAATCCCCGACAGTAAACTGATGCCTCGTTTATGACGTACTGATACAAAGTTCAAATGATATGCAATGGTCGCTTTGTCGCGTCGCGTCCGGTGTAGACAGACTTTGGGGCCGTTCACATGTCGCGAGTGGAAAACGCCAGCCGCGTCGTTTTCTCCTTCTTTCCAAAGCGCTCGGGAGCTTGCGCTTTCGTGGCGTCTGCTGTTGCTAAGCGACCGTGACCCGCGCTCTGCTGACGGACGCGGAAGTTTCAACAAAGGATAAACGGATTTCCAGCACTGAAAATCGCGTGCAGTAGCTCTGCTACTAAATGTAGCCTATTTAGAAATGGGTATCTCTGTACAATTTATTTAATACACGAGTTTCACAATTTGAGTTGAATTACTGAAATAAATGAACTTTTCCACGACATTCTAATTTATTGAGATGCACCTGTATAACGATCAGTAGCCTATACTAAACATCGCACATCCTGCGATGTGACTATCGCAGATGCGCACATCGCGATATTGATGCTGAAACGATATATCGTGCAGCCCTAGTTAATTGTTAGTTATTTATCTGAAAATGTTTTAAAAATAGTTGCATGCATGACATTTCTGTTGCTTGGTGTTTTTGGGTTTTGTTTTCAATGTTTTAGTTTTAATAGGTCTTAATTTTGACTCATTGTTTTCATTTGGATTGCACGCGAAACCTGAAATATTATAAATGCATCAAAGCTCACAGACCATGGTTATATCACACATCTTTTCGTACTCTCATGTGAATTAACAAACATTTCATTCACACTATAGGTGAGTCATCTGTTCTCAGTTGTCTGTTACTAAGATGAGAAATATATATAATTTTAAATTTTCGGATGTAGACTTTGCTGTTCAGATTCAGATGATATTCTTGATATACTTGATATATAATATTTCTTTTCTGAGTAGATCATGTTTATGTAATGAAGCTAAATAGTTGGTGTGCATAGCATGCATATCTAAGAGTGATGTCACTTACCATAATTTCATGGTCATTGTTTGCGAATTTTTTTCCTGTTTGACATTTAAATATATTCTCAAAAATTTTTTAATCTGGACTCAAACATCTTGTGTTTCTATGTGATGTTATAAACTTCAAATGTAAGTGGCATTAAGGTATTTATTTCACTGTTTATAACTGAATTGGATCTGTAAAGATTTACAGATCAAGGGTCAGTACTTGTTCAAAGCGAGGTATTTGAATATATTTTTTTATTGAAGTTGCTCTGCAGAAATGCAGCTCTGGACTTGAAGAGAAGCACTTCAAACATATTTGTGCATATGTTCTACATTCCTCAAGACTGTGCTCTAGTTCAGAGTGTCTGTCTCACCTTAAAGGTCATGATGAGGTGTGTGAAGTGGAATTCAGCCTCCAAATGAATGTCACATTTTCAACTCTTGATGTCATCTTGACCCCTCGACCTTAACATGAGAATCACTTTACCACCATAAAGCTTACACTGCTCAGCAAACATTAAGCAAAATCATGTGAGGAAGAGTGATGTTATACTGAATATCTTGGCAATTCAAAGCAGAGGAACAGAACTAACCAAATCCATACGACTTTTAAATGGCATACAAAATATATCACACAAATTCATTTTGATTTTGAAATGACTCTAATCTATTGCTGATCATGCTTTTGACGAATGTGTTTCCTGTTAATTCATCAGAAGCCATAACTGTTGTAAATGTGACATTCAGACATGTTTTCTCTGAGGTAGGGAGGGAGCAGGAGGGGATGTTTGGTTTCAAGGGTTGTTTGTCCTCTTTTGATACACTAGCATGTCTTTTGTCCTGACAGCTCTGCGGTCCTTAGGATGACAAAGCTCCATTTTCAGACCAGCTGCCTCTGCTGTAGTGCCAAGATGTGCCATCATCACACATAAACAACAAGCATGGCCTTTATGCTGTTGCGCACACTTTCATGGGTTTTAAGTATTTAACGCAATGTCTATCAGACAAGCCGATGTTTAGTTATGTTAACATTTCATAATGAACTCTATAATGAAAGAATTTATGCAACGTTTCTTGGGAAATAACATTTCATGTGGTATTCATTTATATGGCCTTTTGGTTTGTGAAGTATAGCTATGGGAATGGGAGTGCATACTTGCTAACAGTTCGATTGGAATTCCTGCAAAAAGGAAAATACTTTGCCTTGGACTTTGTCCAAAACCACAGCTGAAAAGTGTAGAGAGGCAGAGCTGGGGTCACAGATGGGTTATGTGTGTTTTTATTCAACCCAACCCTTTGCAGTCTCTGGTTATCTTAGATGTACATTTATAATGGCAGTATATTATTATATTTACTTTTTTATGAGATGCTGAGGTGTATAGAATCATGTATCCTCCTTAGTGTGAAAAAAAAAAAAAAAATTAATAAATAAATAAATGATAGCAACTTTACATTTCAAAATTGCAATATCTCAGAATAGCAAATTTATATCTCAAAAATACTACTCAAAACTGACTTCATATCTTACAATTATGCCTATACAGTATATAGAACTGTAACTTTATATTTTTGGAAAATATGGCTCTATATCTCACAATAAGACTTTATTTCTTACAATTTGACTTTATATCTTTATTTCTCACAGTTGTAAGTTCATATCTCCCAGTTGCGACTTTCTCATAATTGCAACATTTTTTTTATTATAATGGTGGTTTTATATTCCAAAACTGTATCAAACTGCAATTTTATGTCACTTTTTGACTTTACTTCTTATTTTAAACTTCAGCTCAAAATTACCTGTTTTATTTTGTTTCACTGCAAAAAATGGGCTTTCATATCAGATTCATTAGAATAAATGTTATATTTTTTGAAATTGTAATCAATATTTAATAAAGTAAAATAGGCCGTATTCATCACAGTATTTAAATGTCTATTTCATAAATATCTAAAATCACGTCTTACCTCCAATCATGATGTCAAAAATGCATTTGGAAATAAATTAATGATTTAGGTTTTCAGTAAAGTACTTTATTCATAACTGAAGACCTATATCTGCATTTTGAAGCGTTTTGAACAAAACAATTCCATTCATCTTATTCTCCTCTTGGCAGGTGAAAGCTATGTGTGTGCTTCCAATGAACCATACCGTAAAGTGGACTACACTAAGAATCTCAATCCCAACTGGTCAGTCAACGTGAAGACGGGCACATCCCGCTCGCTGCCATCCCTTACCACATCAAAGAACGAGCTGAGAGATCGAGAGAGCAAAGACTTCATCAAACCCAAGCTGGTGACGGTCATCAGGAGTGGTGTTAAACCCCGTAAAGCTGTCCGGATCCTCTTGAATAAGAAGACGGCTCACTGCTTTGAGCAGGTGCTCACGGACATCACTGACGCCATTAAACTGGATTCTGGCGCTGTGAAAAGACTCTATACTCTGGAGGGCAAACAAGTAAGTGATAGATCTAAAAAGTCATTTAATAAAATGATTTAAATAAAGATATTAGCTAAAACCCAAAGGGGGTTGAAATGGCCCCTATGGTTTCAAACAAGGTCATTAACCCTTAAATGCATGAATGTTTCGCCAATCATTATTACATATTCGGGTCTTTAGCGACCCGGACCTATATATCCAGCAGCATGGATGAACCTCTAACTGCTGCAATAGCAAAAAACTCTCTTGATATTTTAAGAACAATTACAGAAGAATAAAATAAAGCATATTTCGTTACCTTTTAAAACTTAAAAGGGTTCAGTTTGAGCAGATGATTTTACCATCGCTGTCATCGTCAGAGCGCACTTCCAACAGTACATTCAGCATCTGCCTCACATTCACGATCTCAACCATATTCTCAAAACTATCGTTTTCAATGACTTCATATTCAATATTTTGATCACTGGCAGCTTATTCATCACATCCAGCATCAAATGGCAGTGACATTTATATTTCATTGCGTATAGTAATTGCTCTGCAGTAAAGCCATTCAAACCACTTCAATTTTTGCTATTCTTTGTTTTATGCCTGCAGTAATTATAAGTGAAACGTCACATCATCATTGTGTATCAAACAGTGCCACCTTGAGGAAAAAAGATGCATTGCACATATTGAGTCATCAGATATTACATACCTCGGGTCTCTAGCGACCCTATACACTTTTTACAAAAAATTAATCAGAAAACTGCCGTTCTTTTATATTTTACTATTTTTTTCTTGTTATATAGTTTATAATTAATAGATTGAGGAATATTAAGAAAGTTGATATCTAACTTAAAAAAAATGAAGGAGAGAGAGAGGGTAGAGAATGATGTCCCGGGTTGCTAAAGTCCCGAGGTATGCATTTAAGGGTTAATCTGAATGTTGTGTGAGTGATTTATGCTCTGGAATTGTCTGGAAACCATAGGAAACCAGCATAGGCCTATTATTTTTGCTCTGGCATAATATCATTACATCGTTACGTTGAAGAGCTATAACTTTTTATTCCTATGCTGAAGACTCTACAAACTCTACACACTGCATTTTTTATTTTAGACGTATGGTTGCATAGACACTAGTGAATAGCAAGATTCAAAATGTCAGTCCGCCTAAACCATTGAAGACAGAATTTCACATGACAGTCCCTTTCCTCATAGGAACAAATTTGCCTCAAGCACGCATATGTTTTGCCATGAATTGTTTTTTGAGTTTTTGACATTTAGGTATTTTAGTCTAAAATCGATCTTTTCATGACCTGCTCATGCAATAAATCTGGGATTTAAAAAAAAAAAAAGTAATCTCTGGAGATGATTTTCATAAGTTTAAAAAAGAATAAGAATAATACATTTGCAGATATATTGATTATATATCAGCAGATTAGTTGGTTTTTATTCTGTTCTAGAAGTCAACATTTATCAGTCCTATTTATCAGCCCTAAGTATAAGCAAGTTAAGTCTATAACTTGTGAGGTGAAGAAGAGGTGAAGTTTGTAACTTCCTATTCTCACTGTATTTCTGCTTTTTCCTTGGATGCTCCAATAGAGCATTGTCCTGGAAAAAATGAGCCCACACTTTTAGTGTTTTATCACCTTTAATAAATGTGAACGCTTCAGTGATGCTTCCCTCAAGGGACTCTCAAATAATGATCTGAGCTGTTGTCGTATATATAGTGCAGAATTATACATCAGGAGCTGGTAATGACCACCTGAACCCTCTTTAATTCTGAACGTGCTTTAACCAGCCCAGACGGGAAATCCAGATGGGGCATGTCTTTAGTCACCTCTGTGGTTATTAGGACACTAAAACAAGTCATTCTCATTTCATTTATGTGGTTAAACCAATCTGCAGTTCATTCTAAGTAAAGTAAAGTGTCAAGTAAATAAATGTGTTGGATTCTGTTGCAGCTTTATATCATTCATTGATATTTTATCTTGGTAAATGAAATACTTAATTAGAAGTAATCAAAATACTTTGGTTATTTACAGCAGTATCTGAAAGAAAATAGACAGGACCAGACATTACTGACAGAAAGCACAATTGACCTTTGTATTCTGGTAATGGCAGGGACACTGAGCATTCAGCCATGGTCTTTCCAGCAGAGACAGTATTCAAGACTATCCGAGTATTACCTTCTCTTTTCAGCTGTATATGTAGCATTTCATCTATCTGTGTGCTCCTCTGTGTTTGTTTACTCATCTTTTAATCTTTTGAGACAATATATCTTTTGTTTCCTAAAAATATAAATGTGGATTTTCAGCAAATGAAGAATACTCATTGTTTCTGTGGAACACAAATAAATTTTGAAGGATTTTCATGCAGAAATCTTTTGGGGGCAGGGGAATTATCCCCTTCTGTTCTCATCCAAAAAGCACGCCTGGATAGCTGATGCGTCTTGATGATGTCAGTGGTGAATTGTATATAGAAAGCTCCTGGCTGCCTCTCAACCACCGTGAATCTCTTTGGAATTTAGTGAGAGAACTCATTCGCATATTTGAAGTCTGTCCCGGCATGATCTGCCTTAATTATGCAAAACTCCCTCCAAGAATTGCCTGACAAAGGTGAATGTAGAATTTTTATGGTAATGTCTCAGGCTGGATTTATCTGAGAAAGTGGCTGAAATAAGTCACTCACCTCATCCTCTGTTATTTGGGTGTGTGATATTGGTGGAAGAAATAGTCATTTTGAGACCCTGCGAGTTAACAAACAGAACTCTCATAGAGGTCCCACAGGGCTCTGTTTTTGGCACTTTTCGTTTCAATATTTACATGCTCCCTCGTAGTCACATCCGGTCTCAGTTATTATTGCTATGCTAAAGACATTCACATCTATATTTTCACTTGTTCTGAATAAGACCTTCCACTCTTATAATCATACTTAATGCCTGCATTTAAGTCTGGTTGCACTCTCACCTCCACAAATTTAACAATGCCAAAACTCTGGTTAGCACCACAGCTCTGCAACTAATTCCCATTGGGCCTTTAATTATTATTATTATTATTATTATTATTATTATTATTATTATTATTATTATTATTATTATTATTATTATTATTATTATTATTATTATTATTATTATTATTATTATTATTATTATTATTATTATTATTATTATTATTATTATTATTATTATTATTATTATTATTATTATTATTATTATTATTATTATTATTATTATTATTATTATTATTATTATTATTATTATTATTATTATTATTATTATTATTATTATTATTATTATTATTATTATTATATCTTAGAAAAGGTTGGAGTGTCCAGAGTAGACTTCATTTGTAGAAAACATTTAAATTGAACCATATGTTAGACAGTCTCAACCTGTCAAATGGACTTTTAGCCCAAAGTGCTCTACATTATTCATTGACTTTATGTAGCTGAGATTGAGCGGCCAATGGCAGTTTGCCACTAATATATGTGGGCTTGAGTGCTGTCTATGACTGGGAAGAGCAAGTCATCTACCCTGCAGCACAGGGAATCCTAATGTCTGTGAGTGGCTCAGTGGGAGTAGCTCCTGGCACACACACAAATAGCATGGTTTGTCACTGATAAGCATTAAAAATATATGATGGGATAGCACTGCAGTGATACCCATGTCTTTAAGACATTTCAGGAATATCTCTTGTATTGAAGATACATTTTATGAATCTTAACAACAGCAAATGGGATTTTTTACTTTTAGATCACAAGATGAAGTCAAGATAAAATAAATGAAATATATTTTGTTGTGTTTTTATCTATTGGTTTAAAAGTAGCAGCTTTCAGTTCTAGGTCATTTTTTATTAGCATTTGTATTGTATTTTTACATGCCTAATAGATCTTATTTGTACCTCGAATGGTTTCAATGTAGTCATGGGACCCCAAAGTGTACTATATTTATAGAATATGCTCTACTGTACATAAATTGGTCCACTCATGCATTTCTCTACAGATTACCTTGTGTGCTCATCTCAGTAATCATTGTAATGAGGCATTTGTACATAGCTCAGTGCTGCTGTACTCTCACTGTGTGTCTTTTCTTAGCCTTAGTAAGATTAACGTATTTGATGAATCTCTTTACAGCTGAGGAATGAGAAATGGGATGAGAAGAAAAACATTAAAGCGTTCAGATTGGAACTTTATATTTGCAGACACCAATAACAAGGCTCCCAAGAAACACCCAACTAGATCAAAATGCAGTGCAAATCCATCTGACTGACTTAGATTAAACTTGTCTTACATTTAAGCTGCTTACTCACACACTCAATACTCATCTTATTGCTTTCATGGGATGAGTGTGTTTGTGTGTGTGTATATAACTATATACAGTATATATGTCTGTAGATGCACAAGAGGCATAATATGTTTTGGAACTGTGTTTACTTGAGAGCTTTTTGGTTCGTTCAAGCAAGGCATCACTGCATGTCATATGTGATTACAGTTGGTATGCCCTCAGTAGGACTGTGAAGAGTTAGAGGTGGCATGTCCTCAATGCACAGCTGCAAACACACTAGATGAAAAGGACATCCCCTGCTCCAGATTATATAGTGTAACTAGACTGTTTCTGAAGATATCGCTAGTGTGGCTTAAAGAGAATTGAAGCCCAAGAACCCATATTGGGCAGGGTCATATTAACTGGGATTTATTTATTTATGCACTGTATATATTTTATGTATTTACGCTACCTTTCAAAAGTTTGGGGTCTGTAAGAATATTTTGACAAAAACGTATTATGAAATATTATTACAATTTAAAATCCCTTTGATGGCAATGCTAAATTTTCAGTCTCACATGATCCTTCAGAAATCATTCTAATATGCTGATTTGTTGCTCAAACATTTCTTATTATTATCAATGTTGAAAACAGTTGTGCTGCTTAATATTTTTGTGGAAACCATAATACATTATTTTCAGGATTCTTTAAAGGGGACAGAACACACAGTTTCATCCAAGCTCATGTTAATCTTGAGTACCTATAGAGTAGTAAACCATCCCTTATATCTCCATCTCCATTTTATCTCCGTCTTTAGTTTTATCATATTTACAAAAGAAAGATGCAGCTTTACGATTCTCTCCAAAAACAGCCGAACTCCTGGAGGCATGCCGTGGGTGGAGCTAAAGAGTCACGAGCACTTGCGTGCCAACTGCCAACAAAACACCAAAATTTAATGCAGTTTTACTTACCGCCTGCACTTCCGAATCATGACCGAGATTTTTTATCTCTGGGACTGCTCCATTTGTCAGTATCAAACGATGTGCAAATCCAGCGTCGAACTGGGCCTTGTTTATAAAACAACCCCCCCCCTAATGGATAGAAAGTTCCCAAGCACAGCATTTATTTTAAATAGAAAAATGAATGTCTTTAGTTTTGCTTTTGATCAATTTAATGCATTCTTGCTGAAAATTAAAAATAATAATAATTATATATATATATATATATATATACAGCTATATTAACTTTTGCAATTTGCTTAACATTTTCAATTTGCAAAACAGAGAGGCTTCATGCATCTAAAATTAAGGTGGTCTTATCCATTATAGACAAAAACTATCAATATAATTCTTTTAAAAGCCTTTCTATGACTTATTATAAGACAAAACCACAGCCTTGCCTAGCTATACCTCTCTAGTCAGAGTCAAAAACCATCTGAGCCTGAGAAATATCCATTGCCTTGAAATCAAAGAAAGTCCATCAAAGGCTAAATTATGAATATTTAGGGGTAACATGCATGTTAACATGATAGCCACTGGATGCCATCTGCTTCCGAGCATTCCGAGTCTAATTCCCGGCAGGTGGGGGTGGGGATGCTGAGGCGTAGACACCCCACTGCGACTCCATCCAACTCTGCTGTAATTGAACCTAACGGCTGGAGGATTTAAAGTGCAGCTGGCAGGTGTGGGCCGCGTTTAGGGGGGCTAGTGGATCTGTACTAGCCAACACAAGACTCTCTCAGTCAGATACGCTTCTTAACATCCAACTCCATGAATGCCAATCGCTCTTTTCCCTTTCTTTTTTTTTCCCCAAAGAGCTTTGCTTGGTTTTACACCACAGAAGCAGATGGAGAGAAAGAAGCCGCACTTTCTTTGGCAGGAGTTCACATTTGAGTTGCCAAATTAGTAATAAGTAAATAAAACTGACCAGTTTTGATGTATTAGCCTAGATGTTAGATGCATTACATCTTCTCCCAGCTGCGTGCTTTGTGATTAGCTGATAATAGCAACCAATGACATGGTAATAGACCCTCCATAATGGTTTTATAAATCTGCATGAGGGCAAGTCAGTCTCCAGGGAGACTGCAGAGGGGAGGTAGCATGTGAGAGGCTGGGAAGAGGGGTCAGACACTTAAGTTATCATTGCTAACCCATATGCACCCTGCTGCCTCCACCTCTTCCTCATTGAAGTCACTTTAAAAGTCACTTTTAAAACTCAAGATTAGAGCTCTGTTGGTTTTTCAAGTCATTTGTACATTTGGTGAAACACTCATCTATCTATCTATCAGTTTATTTTCAGAATAACTACATACAGTATATAAATAACTATATCATGAAATATATTGTTACCGTGAAATAAAATTAGTCATACCGTGAAATAAAATTTTGATCATACCGCCCACCCCTAACCATAACCATGTCCAGCACAGTGAGATACATAGATGGAGGAAGAGTGCAAATAAGAGTGTTTTAGTGTCTGAAATAGGTGCTGTATATGTCGGGAGTGGTGGACAGTGGGGGTTGGTGATTGACATGTAGGCCTGGAGTACATTAGCATACTAAAAGCCTTACAGCATTTTATGTTTGTATGACAGAATAATGTGAACAAGAAACTGATATCTGATACAATCTGATAGCAGAGACAACAGACTTCAGACCACATCTCTTCAGGTCTTTTAAATCACATTAGATCATCAACTCACAGCAGGAAATAGGACACAATATTTTCAATACTTTACAGTCTGTCCGCTAGGGTTTATTGAGATGTCTAACATAATCTCTTTGACCTGTCAATCACCCATATTAGTTTTACCTCACAGTCAGAGCAGGAATAATGAAATCAGCTATGATTTTATCTCTCTGAAGGTTTTATATTTCAAATTAAATGAATTGTTAGACAAAACAAGTGTAGGTTAGTTGCTTTCTTGCAATATAAAAATGTGAGGCGTCCTGAGGTGGCTCTGAGGCACATGAGGACCTACACATTATTTGCTTCACTTGTTTTAAGGGCAGATCAGGATTAAAAGACTAATTGAGGTCAGACATAAAGTAGCATGAATCTGGATAACAATCATTCCCTATCTTCTAATTAACATAAACCTTCATCTGCATATGCAGCATTAATTTAACAAACAACCTGTGTGGATGCTTCATGTAAGTAGCGGGCAACATAGAAAGTGTCTCGTGTCTATGGCTTGTCTGACAGACCCGCCAGACCCAGCAGGCATCACTAGGAGACACAGGGCTGGCACACGACCAGAAACGTGTCAGTGGAGCCAGCCGGGGTCACTGTGTGATCTCAATGCCCTCTTTTGTTTTTGTCTGCCCAGTCTGGAGTCTTTATCAATTGAGTCTGATGGGCGCAGAAAAGGATTTCCACGTGCCCCATTCTTCACCTCTATCAGTTTCCTGTTTGTTGTAATTTTTCATTTTTTGTTTTTACACATTCCTACGTATTCACCTATTCCTGTCACTCATATGTTTTTGGAAAATAAATAATCCAAAGCACCAGATATGATGCTGTTTTTAAGAAACTTGAACTGGTTGAACCTCAAAAAAAGGCTGTTAGGAAATAACAATGCTGATGGTGCTTCCCTTTGTCTCAGAAACAGAGTATAATTTATTAATGTTCTTCATGAATGCTGAGAAATTGTTATTGACACACGTTGGTTATTGCATGTAGACCAGCATATACTGGTAAGTATACTATTAAAAGTATACTGGTAACCAGTAATAAAATGTGACCCTGGACCACAAAACCAGTCTTAGGTGTCAATTTTTCCGAAATTGAGATTTATTTATTAAGCTTTCCATTGATGTATGGTTTGTTAGGATAGGACAATATTTGGCCGAGATACAACTATTTGAAAATATGGAATCTGAGGGTGCAAAAAAATTGCCTTTAAAGTTGTCCAAATGAAGTCCTTAGCAATGCATATTACTAATCAAAAATTAAGTTTTGATATATTTACGGTAGGAAATGTACAAAATATCTTAATGGAACATGATCTTTACTTAATATCCTAATGATTTTTGGCATAAAAGAAAAATCGATAATTTTGACCCATACAATATATTTTTGGCTATTGCTACAAATATACCCCAGCGACTTAAGACTGATTTTGTGGTCCTGGGTCACAAATGTTTTTTTTTTTTTTTCATGTTTAAATCTATACTGGTATAGGCTGCTTTTGTTGTTTTCAGAATGGGTCATGAATTTTATTTTGCATGCTGTCCATTTCTTTTCAATTTTTTTCTTTCT